TATTCTAACATATTTCCTTAAAGAGTTTTAATTGGTAGGCATAAAGCAAGTAGGCACAAGTTCCAGTAGGTCACACTGCAACCGACAGGTGGCAACATCACATATATGCACAGCACATGCAGGGTGTAAAGATGTTGTAGTCAGGGCTTACAAGGGAACAGTTTCCTTAAAAGAGAATTTTAAAAAAAGGAACAGTAGCAAAATACCAACAATACAGACAAAAACAAAACAAAGCAAAAACAATAAAAATGATACAGGGTTTCAGAACAAAATGATAGGAATTAACAGTGGTTGTTATATTACATATTGCTATCTTCACCAAAGTTACTAAGATTACCAGATATAAGAATGCAAGATTGATCAAACCATTAAAGAGAATTAAAAAAAAAAACAAAACCATAGAAACCATACAGGGTTTCAGTAGGCAAGATGGCAGCAATTCATCAATTGTGGTTATATTGTATACTGTTGTCTTCAAATTTGTTGTTAGGATTACCAGATATAAACATGCAACTTAACTAAAGAAAAACAAAGATATAAGGTCAATGCCTAAGAAAATAGACAAATTAACTTTAGAAGGTTAGAAGACAGATAGCCAGGGGAACAGCTAGTTCCTACTGGAGACCAAGCAGTTCCTATATAAGATCTCCATTGACCTACCAACCACATAGATTAGAATAGGGAACATTTTCAAACATGTATTCTTCAAGGTCTAAGAAGGATGAGAACTAAGCCCTTCAGTTATTTTAAACTGTCAACTATTTAAAGGGAAAAAATGAGAACCCCTCTACTACCTTAGAATATTTACAAGAGACACTGAAAAATATACACCCCTAGCTCCTGATTCAATAGGACAGATTATTCTTAAAGACAAGTTTATTACCCAGTCAGCCTCAGATATTAGGAAAAAGCTACAAAAGATAGCTTTTGCTCCATTTTATAATCGAGACCAGGAAGAAGCCAAGGGGAGGAAACAAAAAGATCAAGAGAAACTGGCTGCCTTTGTTGTACCCTTAAAAAGAATAGACCCCTAAGTCTGATTCTTGGGGCTCCAGAAAGAGTTCAACAGCTAAACTCACCTGCTATTGCTGTGGAAAACTAGGCCACCTTAGAAGGGACTGCCATAAGAGGTCCCCAATGCCATGCCCTGATTGTAAAGGTGGCCAATGGAAGTCAGACAGCATTCTGAGGTGGAGATCCAAGATCTCAGACCTATCTTACCAGCTGGTCTAGCAAGACTGAAGGGCCCCAGGACACTCTACCTTCTCCCTCTGACTGGACTTGCCTCACTTTGTGGTTTTACTCTGTAAAAATCCCTTGCGAAGTAGGAAACCCTGGCAAACCACTCAGGACCCCTTCTGTCTCTCTTAGACAGAAGCTTTCTTTCCCCCAATAAATATTTTCTGCTCTTAAAAAAAAAAAAAAAAATAGGTAAACCTATAGAAGTGGAAAACAGAGTTATGCTCACCCTAGGGATAAAAGACGAGGAGGCAATAGCAAAAGGCTATAGTATGGGGATGGAGGAGCTACTAGGGATTGTACCCAGGGCCTTCACACTGACCTATATCTCCAGCCAAATTTATTTTTTTATTTTGGGTTAGTAGCATCTTGCTAAATTGATTTTAACTCAAACTTAAAAAGATTCTTTTGCCTCAGCCTCCCCTCCCACAGTGGTGGGATTATAGGCTTGAGCCTATAGGATTTCTTTCTAAAATCCTGAAAATGTTCTAACATTAATTACCACAATGGCTGCACATATCTAAAATAAGAATCACTGAACAGGGCCAGGGATACAGCTCAGTGGCACAGCACCTGTCTGGCAAGCGCAAGGTCCTGAGTTCAATTCCTGGTACCTCCCCCCAAAAGATCACTGAACAGACTTTAAATAGATGAATTGTATCACATATGAATTATATATTAAAGAGCTGAGGGCTCAGTATCCATGAATTCATCAAACCACAGACTAAAAATATTCAGATTTAAAAAACAATCTGTATTGAACATTTGTAAACTTTTTTATTATCATTAGTGCCTAGACAATACAATATAACAATTATTTGCATAGTATTTACATTGTAATAATACTGTAAGTAACCTAGAGATAATTTAAATATATAAGAGGATGTGCATAGGTTACATGAAAATACTATACCATTTTGTATAAGACTTAAGCATCTCCATCAACTGAGGAATGGATAAAAAAAGATATTTATATATCTTGTATAAAAAGATATCTTTTTATACAATGGAGTACTAGTCAGCTATAAAGAAAGATAAACTGAAGACTTTTACAGGTAAATGGATGCAACTCAAGAGTATACTCATAAGAGAAATAAACCATATGTACATCTGCAAACATTGCACTGTCTCCTTAGTGTGAGAAGCTGAAAGAGTAAATAAGATCCAAAATGTACAACAGATATCACAAAATGGGAATAATCTGTTCAAAAGGAAAGACAAACTGGGATAAGGGAAAAGAGAAAAGAGGGGAAAAACAAAAATAAAAAACAAAAAACATCCCATATATATATTTATAAAATAGTTAAGACAGTTATACTACTAATTTCTCTTAGTTCATTGAAAAGAAAGGTTTGTGCTAATATTGTTTGGGCAATTAAATGCTTACATGTTGGATTCTGAGTATTTCAAAGATAACAATATGCAATGTATTAACCATCATTACTCTCCTATTATCTTGTTTTGAAATTATGGGATTTTTTTTTCTCTTTAAAATAAAAAAAGAAGACTTGGGCATCTGTGGATTTTGGTATCTGAGTGGCAGCCTAGAACAGTCTTCCATGGACACTGGAAGACAACTTCAATCTACTTCACTTGACCTAGGCTAGGATTCAAGCAACCTCAGTCTAAGAATCCTTCCTAAAACATACCAACCTGAAATGAAACAATCAGCTTGCGCTTAGTAACACTAGTTTTAAAAGGGGGTCTGTGCTGGGCATGGTGGTGCACACCTGTAATCTCAGCACTGGGAAGGCTGACCCAAGAGGATTGCTTCGAGTTTGAGGCCAGCCTGGGCTACAAAGTGAGTTCAAGACCATCCTGAATTGAATAGTGAAACTGTCCCAAAAAACAACGGCAGGGCTGGGGATATAGATCTGCGGCACAATGCCTGCCAGACAAGTGTGAGGTCCTGAGTTTGATTCCCGGTACTACTACTACTACTACTACTAATAATAATAATAATAATAATAATAATAAAAGGGTATGTATTACAATTAGATATAATACTTTTTAAAAATGTAGATGTGGGGGTGTGATTGTAGTTAAGCATGCACAAGGACCTGGGTTTGATCTCCAGCACAGGAAAGAAGTAAGAGAGGAAAAGAGGGAGGGGAAGATGTCTAGGTCTATCCTTAAACATCTGTATGAAAACACTTTTTTTTGAGACAGACTCTCACTCTGCAGTTCAGGCTGGCCTTGAACTCACTTTGTAGCCCAGGCTGGTCTTGAACTCACAGTAATCCTCCTGTCTCAGCCTCCCGAGTGCTGGGATTACAGGCATGCACCACCATGCCCAGTACAGTTTTTGTTGGTTCGGTTCAGTTTGGTACTAGGAGTCAAACTCAGGACCTTGATCTTGCCAGAGAAGTACGGCACCAATGAGCTATATCCCTGGCCCCAAAAATCTTTATGAAAGTACATGTATCTGATATATAGAAATCTGTGGTGTGTGTGTGTGTGTGTGTGTGTGTATACGTGTGTGTGAAAGTTTCCAAAGTTTTCATAGACATGTTGGGACCTGGCAGAAAAATCTGAATATGATTTTTACATTAAACATTATTAGTAAATCATTGCTAAATTTTCTGAATCTGATAATAGGCTGCAATTGTTTGGAAGATTCTCCTTGACCTGAGGAGAAATACTTCAGAAATTATAGTATCTGTGACTTGCTTTGATATGTTACAGAAAAGAAATCTTACATACATAGAGATAAAACAAATATAGCAAAATGTTTACAAATTGGTCAATCAAAAAGTTTATAGAGGTGTCCACTATACCATTTATTAAAATTGTGTATAGGTTGGAAATTTTCAAAATAAAAGTTGGGGAAAGTATAAGAGCACAAGTGATCTTCTTTCTATGACCTAAGGTTCCCAAATTTCAAGTGCTATCAGGAAATCTGTTCTTTATCAGCTGCAAGAACACTTCTCCCTATCCCTATTTCAAAACATGCACAAATGGATAACGCCTTCTACTTCATATATGTTGACTCACAAAGCTTATGATCCAAAAATATAAATGAGATTGCACTTTAATAGAGGCAAGCTTCTATTATTGTACCCTCCAAATTGCTAATAGGACTTGTTCCAAAGGATACAGGGAAAAGTGTAAAATTGAATAGAAAGTCAATAGGTTCCTTAGGTACAAGACCAAGTTATAACACTCCCCAGGTTACCAAACATGGCCTTCATAAGGCCTTGCCTATCATACAAAGCCTAGACAAAGAAAATGCTGATTCCTTCCTCCAAGACATATTTAACTGTCCAACATGCACTAAACATGTTCCCTATCCTCATGTGCTAAATATTATACGGCTGTACACAGAAGAAACATACTTTCATAAGACTTAGAGTCATTTCTATAAAAAGAAAGTTATTTTCAATAAAATGTATTCATTAAAGTTACATCCAAACTGAATCTCCTATCTATCTCCTATCTGGGACAGGGCTAGGCTAAGTTGCCTAGATTGTTCTCAAACATGCAGTCCTCCTGCTCCAGCCTCCCAAGTCGCTGAAATTACAACTGTGCACCACTATGCCCAGCTTGCATTATTTCCTTCATACTCACTAAATTGCACTAGTGATCACGACAGCATGAGACAGTAATCAGTATATATTCAATTAAAATTCCAAGCCTGTCCCGTATTATTTTCTTTGGAAAGTTATCTAAATCCTAAAACAGGGAAATAATAAATGTGGCAATGACAAATGAAGATCAAAAATTTATTCCAGAAGCAAGACATCATCTTTAAAAACACTTACCAAGCCAGCAGTAAGAGAAGGCGCAGACTGTCCAAAGGACTGGTTTCTCATTCGAACAAGGTTTGATGCTTCTCCTGAAGACTGCCAAGTCACCTGTCCCACACTGCTATGTACACTGCTAGACAAAGGGAGCAGCTGCTTACCTTCAAACACAAAGGTCAAAAAATATGCATTTAATTATTTATTGATAGATGAATGAAAAATGCAAATGAGATGTCAGATGGATAACATCATATTGAAATAAACAAATTAAGATTTTTCCTTACCTGGCCAGGGATATAGCTCAGTGGCACAAGTGCCTGCCTGGCAAGTACAAGGTCCTGAGTTTGATTCCCAGTACCACAAAAAATAAATAAAGAAAGAAAACATTGACTACTTATTAAAAAATATATATTTTTTTTTTTCCTTACCAACTTTTTTTTTTCTTTTTTTGAAACAGGGTTTCACTATGCAGTTCAGGTTGGCCTTGAACTCACTTTGTAGCCCAGGCTGGCCTTGAACTTGCAGTGCTCCTCCTGCCTCAGCCTCCTGAGTGCTGGGATTATAGGCATGCACCACCATGCCTGCCTGCTCCTTACCAATTTTAGAATCTATAATCTTTTAAAAGTTACAAATATCTTGGTAAGGAGAATTACAAGTGGAATATTGATACAACCTGATTATTTTTACTTCTCTGTAATGTATACCACCATTTCACCCTGAAATCCAACCTAACAGTCTATGAGTTTCCAATCCTGTCCAGCCAACTTGGTTGCCTACCAGCTCACTCCAACATTACTGGGGTGGACAAATTCTCCCAAACAATTCCAGTTCTTAGAATTTATTAAGGCAAGTACTGAATCTATACTGCCTTCATCAGGCTCAGTGTATGCTCAGTTTAGGTTTACTTTCTAAATCTTACTGAAAGATATGTAAAAGTCACCCATTAAAACCAAATGTCAAGAAGATCCATCATGTCTGACTAAAGGCAGTGGTGCCCCCAAGCACTGGGAAGACAGGCATGTGAAAACTCAGGTACTCAGAAATAGGGCATGAGGGGACAAAGACCCCAAATACAGGAAGAAAATATGAAGGAAAAGACCACAAGATGGGGCTGGGGATTTAGCTGAGCAGCACAGCGCCTGCTTGGCAAGCACAAGGTTGTGAGTTCGATTCCCGGTACCGGAAAAAAACAAAACAAAACAAAAAACGAAAAGACCACAAGATGAACTCTAGTGTACAAGATATTTAGAAAAAGAAGTGGGACTCCACCTTAATCCCAGCACTGCTTAGAACCCAAGTCCAGTCAACACATCTTCTTGAGAAAAGATTTAACTCCTTGATGGAAGAAGAAAAGTACAACACAGTGCCAAGGCTACCACTCTCCAATGCCCACCTAACCTAACTTCCTTCTCATTGGGAATTGGAGCAGAGCAAACAACATATTCACATATCAGGGCACTAGTGAAAAGGAAAGCCAGAGACTCATATGGAGGGCAGAAACAGTGTTAGGACAGCAGGCCACCAGCAAAGAAATAAGATCATGGACCTAGTTAAAGACTTGGAACCAGACCCTAACAGTTCTGTAGCACAGTGACAAGCAAAAGCAGGCAACAGCTCCAAGTGGTATGATCCATGGAAAGAAAAAAGACACTGGTTTAGCACCAAAGTAGGCACTCTCTCATTGCTCCCCCTAACACCAAAATCTATGCCCACAGGAAACCCGGCCCACCTCCAACCCTCCAGATGCCATTGTGCTCAGTGCCTACACAGGAAACCTCCTGGCACCAGTCAAAATCTGCTAAGCTCTAAGAGTCCTGGGCACCACTGAGTTTGTGGACTAGACAGAAACTCTTTGTGAAGTACAGACAGAGAGTCTGGCATGGGAAGAAAGCTAGAGAGGAGTGGCACAGTAGTGGGAGGGGGTTGGTTCACAGAGTGCACACTGGGAGCAGTATACTAAGAATAGACTACAGAGATTATCATGAAGGGAGAAAGTGTAGCTCAAAAAGGTCCCTTTGGAAATCAGGAAAACATTGATGTTTTGGCTTATATCTAGACACAAGAAAGTAACAAGACAGATTTAGTATCAGAAGTGGGATAATTTCTGTGACTGTACCTGACTGTGGTTCAGAAGACTTTGGAAATGGCTTATGAGAAGAGTTTAGAAAGGTTTGCACATGCCAGCTAAAGAAGCAGCCCTAAAATGCTGTAATCAAGCATGATGAGACATTCTGATCAGAACTCAGAATATCCAAATGCTGACAGAAATGCAGTTGGTAGAGATCAGGCTCAGGTTTCAGGTGGGACCAAGGACTGCACTTGGCAGTTGACTCTAGACCCTATATGCAGAAAAATTGTCTGCTTATGTTTGTATTGACAGACATTGTGAGAAACAGATTCAGGGCAGTGGACTAATCTAAAAGAAATTTTAAGGCAACCTAATGTTGAAGCAGTGGTATGGCTACTGATGGGGGTTTTAAGCAAGCTATACCTTGAGAATCAAGACCAATGGCCCAACAGAATAATTTAAAAAGTTTTGAGTTTGGCAAGCAAGGAGTTCCAGTAAAGTTGTGATCTGCAAAGATGGAGCAGAGAAAAACGTGGTTGCTGAAAAGCTTAGCGTTAAAAATGCAAATACTTTGGAACAGAACTAAGAAAATAAAAACAGGTGACCCGAGGGCATCATAAGAACCAGCAGGACTCCACTCTTCACAGTCTCAAAACTGCAAAAGTGAAAGACTTTGCTTTGAAAACAGAGCCCCTGGGCACCATGTTCCAGAATGGCTGTGGCCTATGAAATCTTCTCCTCAGAATTGGGTTCATAGTACTCAGCAATCCAGGCACTCAAACCCTACAGACAAGAGAGGAGGAAGCCTGACTACTATACCAGCTGGTGGCAAACCTTAGTGTCATCCACATGTTGTTAGTTTTAGGTGCATACACAATGTCTGAAAGCTTACCCCAGATTTCAGAAGAAAGCCTTAAAGGCCAGGCAGGAAATATGTGAACCTGTGATGTAAAGCAGAAGGTACAGTGGAGACCCCAGAAGGTTGGAGAAGCCAGTAACACAGATCATCCAAGGAAAGCTGCAAGGAATGAGCAAAGCTAACCCAAAGGAGAAACCACGAAGACTACAACTGCTGGTGGTGCCATGGAGGCAGGGCCACCCAAGTCCTTTAGTGTTCACATCCTGCCACAGATTACTCCAGGTGTTGGACATGGAACCACAGAATTTAATGTAGTTCTTTGATAGATTTTTGTCTTGCTTTTGTCCCATTTCCTTCTACCCTCCTATTTCTACCTTTTGGAATGAAAATGTTCGACTTCTTTTTCATTTTTTAAGAGCACTGCAGCTAAGAGTTTGCCTTAAAACTAAGAAATTGGAATTGGACTTTTCAGCAATGCTCAAACTGTTAGGCCTTTGGCAACTTTAGACATAAACTAAATGCATGTTGCATAAAGGGATGCACATGAATATACTGGGGGCCAGGAGCAGAATTTTTTTTTTTTAGGAGCAGCATGTTATGGCTTACATCTAGATGAACCCCCAAAGCCTTGTGTGCTCATAGGTGTGGCTTTTGGGAGTGACTGAGTTACGGATGTCTGATACTGGTTCTGGATGTGGGTGGCACCAAGCAATAAGCTTGTAGACTGGACAGAATAGAGGGAAAGAAGAACAAGTTTCTGCTTCCTGTCTGCCTTGCCATGAACTATTTCTCTCTGCCATGTTGCCCTGCTTTGGAGCCAGCTGACTATGGACTGAAACCTCTACAACCTGTGAGTCAAACCTTTCCTCCTTCAAACTATGAAATGTTGGGTACTACATTTTAGTGACAAATAACAAGACAACAGAGGACTTCATTAACTCACATTGCACTCTCCCTCCCACAACATAACTGATTATAAGACAGAAGCAAAACACCTCCAGCTAGCCGCACCCATAGAAGAACAACTGAAACCAAGCAGAGCACTACCTGCAGACGGATCATGAAGCAAGTTCAAGAATGCATCCACATCCCCTGCCCATTAACTCACTGGCAGACAGAACAACAAATCCTCAGAGGGGAACATGCTGAAGCACCAGTAGACATATTTGCCCACCTGGACTCAACAAAGGACTTGAGATCAACCCCCATCAACTGCTCAAAGTCAAACTGTCTCCAAATGTGAGTGCAGGGGAAAGAGCACACTGGTCAAATTCTGACTATAGTACAAATAGGACTGAGAGGACTCTTCAACTTTCAAGTTTATACGCTGATATAACCACTGTTGGTTCTCCCCGTGCAATGTGGCGACCAGAAATGATCTGTTACACTGAGTACAATGAAGGGATATATAAATTCCAAAGCATAACCAAAGCCAAGGTAACAGCAGAGAGACATATGCCACCTGAAGAGATCACCACAACAGTGACAGAGTTCTTCTACCCTGACTCTTAATCCTCCACACAAAAACAGAAACATGATGGAAAAAAAGGCACCAAGATGCCTCCAAAAAGTTTCAACTCCCCCAAAAGTTAATCCCACAGGTACTGTAGTGGAGGAAGTCACCGGTAAAAACAGTCAAAAAGCAAATGGTTAAATGTTTGCAGAAATCAAAGAAACAAGTGAATCTATAAGATACTTAGTGAGCTAAAAGAGAGTATAAACAATAAAGGACTTGATACAAAAGGTCAGTTAAACAAGATGATACAAGATATGAACAAACATTTTAGCAAAGAACTAGATTATAAAAAGATATCAAGGCTATTGTGACTCTCTTCACAGTAGCCTGCCCTGATTTCTGTCTTCTTTCTTCTTCTTTTTCTTTTTTTCTTTTTGAGACAGAGTTTCACTATGGAGCTCAGGCTGGCCTTGAACTCCCAGAAATTCTCCAGCCTCAGCCTCCTGAGTGCTGGGATTACAGGCATGTGCCAATATACCCTGATTTCTCTTTTGGGGGGCCAGGGGCAGTTTATGGTACCGGGAATCAAACTTACAACCTTGTGCTTGCCAGGCAGGCACTGTGCCACTGAGCTAAATCCCCAGCCCCAATACCCTGATTTCTGTAGGTGTCCTTTTACTGCTTTTTCTCCTTTTATTCAGCCCAAACTCTGCAGACCCAGAGTCTCTCTCAGACTTTCTCAAATAAACTTTGCCACAAAAAATAAAAATAAGAAAAT